TGGCGACTTGAAACACAGAAAACACTTAGCCAAAATTCAAATCCCTTCTTCCCAATCGAACTTGTTTCGTGATCAATCCATAGAAGCTTTTAATGCAAGAAATTTTGGATTATATCAATTAGGGTTAGGGTTTGGTGGTTCTTCATGTGCACGAGATTGTGACACTTGCATTCTTGTTTCCCACGCCTCCATTCTTGCGGTTTGAGCTTGTAGTGTCGCTTGTATTTAAACTTGGCTGTTGGTGTGCGCTTGAACTAAGGCTTGTATTTTCTCGGTTAAAGCTTAGATTTCGTCACCCATGTTTACGACACAAGATACTCCTACAAGATCTTCAAGAACACGTCAAGAAGTCCAAGAAACTTCTTCTTCTCCGCTGTGTTTGAACCGGGCTCTGATACCACTTGCTATGCAAACCAATCAAACGATCACCAACTTGTGAATGAGACCAATCACTATTCGATAGAAGCTCGCCACAACTAGACGCGTTCTCTAGTTGATAAGGGACACGTGAAACTACTGGAGACACTCAACAGAAGCTTGCACAAAGAAACTCGTTAGTATTGAACTCAAAACTTGACTTTGATTGTAAAAAACTTGGTGAATTACAATGGGGAATTGGACCCCTACTTATAGACTCTCTAACACTAATCCAAAGCATAAAAAGAAAGAAAACAAATGACCAAATGTTACACTTAAAAGAAAACATAAATCCTTAACAATTAAGTAAAAGACTAAGTCAACAACTCTCCTAGAATCTAGCCTTCAAATCCGCCACTCTCATGTGTTCACACCTGTGGTTCCTTTCACTCCTTTCACACTTGTATTCCTTTCACATCATGGGATATCTTCATTCCTTCTAGGCCGGATTCTCTTCTTCTTTTTTAAGCTCATCCTTTCTTCATTGTGGTCCACAAATCGTAGTAATGTGATGAGCTTCCCAATATGTTGATCCACGTCAATTTGAGCAAAGTGATGATCCAAATAACCAGCAAACTCTTCCCTTAACCTCTTAGCTTGTAATCGTGTAATTGGACCTTCCTGTGATATTGCGGACTTGGTTTTTATGACCTCATCATAATGTCTACAATATTGGAAGGTATAATAAGAATAGAAAAACAAACAAAATTAAAAGGTAAATTTATTTCTCATTATGGTTGCGATGAATTTTTTTGGATTGGTAGGGCAGATGGTTGATATTCCTTTGTTTGGTAGTGCATTCTCAAACATTCACAACAACTACTAATCTTGAGAATAACTAACAAGAAAAAACACTACTAAACTTGAGAATCACTAACAAAAAAAAGTGAGAATCACTAAAAAGAAAATACTACTTAATTGGAGAATCACTAAAAAGGAAAACACTATTAATATTGAGATTTACTAATAAGTCAAACTCCAAAAAAAAATAAATTACTTACAATGAAAACACTACTACATCAGAAAAAAAGACTGTCATATTTTGTTGTGAATGATACCAAACAGTAAACTTGAAAATTACTACTAATATAGATCTGACCAAATTGCAGAGCTACCTTGTATCTAGGGTGGCCCCCCCCTCCCCCTCTCGGGATTGGTCCAGATCCCTAGGTCCTTAAGGATATTTAGTACAAATTTATAAGTAGAACTTGTTTTGTAAATTCTATCATGTAATAGTTATGTGGTCTAATGGTAGCCAAACTTAACTTGTGTCTTAAAACACATGAGTTCGATCTACATTAGTTACATATTTTTTTTAATAATTTTCGGCCCCGATCTCGAAATCTTGGCTCAGCCCCTGACCTAAAGGTCTCCATGATAGAACTTTGTTCAACAGATGACCTGAAGGCCTCCAAATAATAGCTGAGAGCGGTGTAGGCGAGGTAGCACAGGCCAAGCCGATGCAGACGAGGCGACAAATGCAAGGGTGGAGGAGGCGAGGCAGATGCAGACAACAACAAAAATGGCAAGGATGACGTATGCAATGCTGTCGAGGTTGAGTTTGAGGTTGATTGCAGTGACACAGGCGAGGGGGACGCTGTCGAAAGCGACACAGGCGAGGACGACTACAGCGACAAGGAGGTGAAAACGGCAAGGGCAGAGATGGCGGTGACAACAAGGACTGCAAGGTTGACGATTATTCCAATGGATTGCTCAGATATTGCAAGAGCGAGGAAACGATAGAAGAAGGGAGAAGGGAAAAACAAGAAATAGACGGAAAAGGAAAACATGACTTGTATACTTACTCAAAATGCGTTTCTAACAAAACCACCCTTAAATTGACATAAACATGAACACACAGACAGAGAGAGAGGTGGGAGTAGGGGTGTTCATTCGGGTTCGGTTTTTCGGGTTTACTCGAAACCGACCCGGTTATATACAGTGTCGGTTTTTTAGGTTCGGGTTTGTTTCGGGTTTCGGTTTTTTCGGTTTTCGGGTTCTGTTTTGCTTATTGGTTTTTCGGATTCCGATTGAAAGCCTCCAATGAATAGAACTCAACCCGTATTCTTAGGTGTTCACGTTTTCGGGTTTCTGTTTTGCTTTAACCGAACCCGATAAGGAATTTTCGGGTTTCGGTAAACCGGAACCCGCAAGTTCTTATCGGGTTCGGATTCGGTTTTTAGTGGTTTTCGGTTTCGGGTTTTTTGGGTTTCGTTCGGGTAACCAAACCCGACCCGAACTGACACCGCGAGGTGGGAGGAGTTATTAGCTAGGGGTGGGCAATGGGCATGTTGGGTGGATTTTCGTCTAAAATTGACCCACCCACTTACTAGCGAGTTGGAATAATTGTGACCCGCAATCCACCAGCATTCTTCTACGGGTCGTGTTGGGTGGGTGGCAGATGGGTGCGGTTGGGTCGTGGTTTAACCCGCAAAAGCAATCCTCTATCTAGCCATTAAGAAAGTTGACTAACATTTATAATAAGCTCAAGCAAATTAGGAAAACTGTATCAATTTAGACACTTCTCACTTTGTCTCAAGTGAGTCCAAGTAGTATTTGCATAAAAAATTTCACTACTCTATGATCTCTATCAACCAATTGTGTAGAGAAAACTTACGCATTTTGTGATTCTAATACAATTAATAATTTATAGTTTTCATTCTAATATTTAATGGATATTACCAATAATTTGCATTCCAATGTCCAAAATCTAATCGATATTACACAATACAATAACCAATAAAAATAGTTAAAACTATTCTTTATTCTCCACCTTTAAAAGTATATGGTCAAACTGTAGTGCAGTTAGAAAATATGGCGAATATTCGATACAATAAGAAATAATATTTTTTCATGTGAAAATAGGATGCGGATCATTCGGGTGACCCACAATCCACCCACCACCCACCCGCATAAGTGCGGTTGTGAGATTTATCAATCCGCAATCCACCTACATCAATCACCCACTGCTTGCGGATCGGATTATTTGCGGGTGGATCGATATCAATACGCGGATTAACCACCCACGTGTCCACGGATAATAATATTAGTCGTGCTAACCTATTAGAGATGTCCTGTGTGTAGATGTGGCAATTCTCAATCCAATCCACCAATCCAATTCACCAACCCATTAAAAATATCCACATAATCAAATCCATTTAAATCCAATCCATTTGATCCAAATCCAATTGGATTGGTGGATTAATAGATTGATCCATGAATCCAAATGACAAATTACGGTCTGGTACCTATACTTTTTGTATTTTACTTTTTGGTACCCAAAATTTAATTTTATATACGAAATATATCATTGAAAAATTAGGTTTTGGTACCTAAAATTTTTCATTATGACATTTTAGTACACTATAACAAACTGAACTTTCTGCGACGAATTCTATTGCAACGACAACAAATTCGTCGCAAAAAGAGTACAATTTGCGACGAATTTTATTGTTTCGTGGCAAATCAGGTTAATATTCAACCGTGAATAGATAGAGGCTTTCCCGACGAATATTTATTTTTTCACGACGAATTTAATCGTCGCTTATAACAATGCAAGCGGCAAAATCGGTGAGATTGTGTTTTTTTTTATTTTATTTCTTCTGTTTTTTATTGTGCTTATAGATTCTAACTTGGTTCTTATTGCAGGTTGGGTATTAAAGAAGCTTGCTGCTATTCTCTAAACCAATGGTTAGAATTAGGGGGTTTTAAATGGCCAATCTCGATTGTGGATGTAGATCTAAACTAGTCGCGTGGTTATCTTGGATGAGATAAGGTTTTGGGGTTGACGAGATACCATGTGATTTTGGACCAGAAAATAAATTGGGAGCAACTACAAAAGTGATAAAAAAAATTGAATTATGATAAATATACAAAATTTAATAATGAATTTTTCCAAAAAAAAAAAGTCACCGCTAAAGAGAATCACTTTCTGCGACGAATTTGTTTGTCGCGAAACAAGCGTTTCGGGGACGGAGGAGCTACTATCGACGCCAAATAATTGTTTTCGGCGACGGCATTTACGTCGCCAAAGCGTAGTTCCTTCAGCGACGAAATGATTTTTTTGCGACAGATCCTGTTAATTTCGTCGCAAAACTTTTTGCACGCTGTATTGGGGACGAAAATGAGTTTCTTTTTGCGACGGATAAAATCGTCGCCGAAACCTTTCTGCGACGGATTTGAGGTTTTCTGCGACGAATTTGTTCGTCGCAAAAAGTGAAGTTTCTTGTAGTGGTACCTAAACTTTTCACATTTTACATATTGGTCCTTGGTTAAGGATGTCATTTGGATTCATAGATAATCCACCAATCCACTTGATCCAATCCATGAATCCACCAATCCATCGGATCCAATCCATTTGATCCATGGATCCACTAATCCAATCCATGAATCAATTCATTTGCCACCTCTACCAGTGTCTCTCATTCCTGGATTACAACCATTAATTAATTTTTATTTATGTTTTTTTTAGCGATAATTAATTAGGTCCCGGAACGGAAAGGGCAAATTAAAAAGAGGGAAAAGAAAGTTAAAAAAAGGCAGGCGCATCGATACGGAAATGGGCGTAATTATTGAAGAAAGTCCTACGTACCATGCTCATCATCACCGTCCAATAATCCTCCAGCTCCGTGGTGATAGTGAAACTGGTGATGGGCATACGCGTCAACAGTAGCCGAAACCACCTGATCGTCAACACCGTAATCCACGGGATCGTTATTCCTACCGGCCGACGTCGACAGACCATCCAAAGCGTAGTGTGACGCTGGGAGCAGATCTTTGCTAGTGTCGGCCGAATCATCATTGAGAAGGGAGTCGAGGAAGGCAAGGTCATGGTTGGTGTGGGGCGGGGGATCGTTTTGGCCTTGGGAGGATGTCGCTGCGGTGGAAGATGAAGCCAAAGAGAGGATGGAGTCGAGACAGTGCAGCAGCGGGTGGGCCAGCCGGCTAGCCATCTTGTTGAGCAGCTTTGCTGATGATGAGCTGGGACGACGCTGCACGACGTCGTTTTCTGCTCCCGCTTGTTCTGTGTTGATGCGGCGGCTTGGAGCCGAAGCCGAGGAGGAGGCAGTGGTGGTGGTGGGGCTGTGTCTGTGTCTGTCTGTGTGTGGTTGCATCAAAGAGGCGCTTCTTCAGATGTGTGTTCCAATAATTCTTGATCTCGTTGTCCGTTCGCCTGGGAAGATGTCTGGCTATGGCGGACCACCTGCAAACAATAATAACAAAGATCGATAAGGTCCTCCGTCTTTTTCCCGGTGGTTCATCCGTCTCATCATCACCATTCGTATTCGTAATATAATATTATACTTTTGCAACGATACACGTGAAGCCTCTGACAATGCACAATGCACAGTGACAGACACATATCTATAATTAATTATTAATTAACCGCGTGCCAAAGCAATGGCTGGCTAGCAATGTAGTCCCTCTGGCCTCTGCTTTTGGTCACTACACGACAACAATTATCATTCAACTTTTTACTGTTTGGATGTTATCGTGTTATGTCGATCGATGTTTCTGGTACTAGTACTGCACTTTGACACTAGCAAGGCAACCAGGGTTTTAAACTTAGTAAGAAAGAAACAAGTACGAGTAGCAGTGCACTTTCCTCCATAAAATAATATTTTCCTTCTAATTTTCTTCACTCTCAAATATTTCCTCCTCTTCTAATTTTCTTCCTTTCCTTCGGAAACATAGTGTTTAACTTTAATCACCACAATTTTCTTTTCAGCCCTTGATTTTTTATGGTAATGTTATTGGTAGAAAGGATTAAGCACATGGTGCATTTGATTTCGTGGCAGGTACGCCATCAATAGTATTAGTGCGTACCAAAAACAATAATGGATCGGAGAAAACTGAATTGAGAGATCGATCAATAAGAATGGCTTGTTTGTTTGGTGTATTTTCAGAATGAGTTAACACGGAAACAAAATTAATTTTGCTACCAACCTGTAATATATTGCTTGGTTAGTATTTATTTACAATTCCAAAAACAATTATACCATTGTACAATCAAACTATGCTATCTTTATAAAATAAGAAAGAAATAGTTTCAAACATATTATTCGGAACAAATTGAAACTTTCTAATTTTAGCTAGCCAACCATAGTAAAGATGGGAAGCGGTGGGGAGTGAACGCAAAGGAAGATGCTGCACATATATGTTCAACACAACATCGTTACAAGATGTATATGCAAAAGGACGGATCAATGATGCATTCTGCTTGCTTTTTTCCTTTTCTTTTTAATGACGAGACGTGTTTTGTTTGTTATACAATAATTTTTATTTCAGTCTTCAAAGAAGAATGTCATGTGTTTGTTTGTTAGAGCATACTCATTAATCCAATTAGCGTAAGTTGGTTATGAATAGTTTGAACCCTAGTAGTGAGTTCACAGGAGAAGAGTGAACAAGTCACTCAATTGAAAGGAGAATAAGGAAGTTGCTCGAATGTAACAAATTACAAATGTTGTCTCTATAAACACCTAAACAGTTTATACAATTCAACTCATATTAATTTTAGGATAATGATTATTTATTAGCCAAACGTTTTTTCGCGTTCTTTTTTATTAAGCAAATCTATCGAAATACTAAGAATTAGTAAAATGTTAACTTTAACAATTTTGTTAGTAATATTGACTTGGCAACATAATCCAGACTTGAAAGAGACACATGAAGGTCAGCATTACAAAATTTTAGTATTTTAACTAAGAAAATAGTTACAAAATGATTAATGATAATGTAAAAATGGCTAATATTTTGATGCATTACGAAAGATTTGTCTAATTAGTAGCATTTTAATAGGTTTGGATAATATAAAAAATTTGAAAAAGATTTGAATAAAAAATAGACATTACCTTTAATTTTATTGCGCCTATGTTAATGTAATTCACTTGCAATTTACCACTTTGACTTTCGTATGCAATTGAATTTATTGTAAAATTGAAAATATGTAATAACAGGTCATATCAATGCAATTGATTTTGCATTTAAAATGGAAACCAATCTGTTTTCTTCTTATGAGAGACAAAATAAAAATAGCGGTGTTTCAGTTTTGGCTAGGATGGTCAACTCACCCGTTTCGCGGTTTTTTCATTGCGTTTGTGGCTATCATCATGATACTATATGTGGCCCCTATTCTTGAATACTTTTACCAAGGATTGCGAGAGATTATAATGTAAAAGTTAGTTGTAAGATATTTTGTACTTAAAATTATAATTTAACGAGAGTTCAATTGTTTCATACTACTAAAATCACATACTCATTTAGGTTTTCAATATGCTTGCTAGTTCAATACGGTTCCACAAACAGTGTCATTTAGTGGACAGATTCACACATTGGTATTTTTGTACATAACTTTAATGGACAATTCAATGACTAAATATGTACAGAATCTAACGATATCAAAACAAATAAGTAGCCCACATCATGCTGGAAATAGGTGCGAATTGTGTAGTCCAAGATCTTCACTTGGGAAACCAACAAAAAAAAAAAAAACATTTTTGGGAGACAAGCTCAGTTTTGAATAAAGATTCTCCTCCTAGCATGATAACTTCAACATTAGACCACGCATTGAATTGTATTGTTTTTTAATTTCACTAATATATATAAACACTATCTAGACATCGAATTAGTAGGATTTTTGGGCATGATACTATACCATAACCCTTAATGAGTGATCCCTAGGTCCTAATTATCTAAATCATAAACTATAAACTCTAAGATGGTGCATGATTTTTTTCCCTATATTTTGACGAATCATAACCGTCGATTATTATTTCTAATTAAATTGATCTTGGGGTATAAGATTTAGAGAATTAAGACCTAGATGTTTATCTTTAAGGGTTAGAGTATAGTATCATGTTCCGAAAGATCAGTCAATTCAAGTTTTGGATAGCATTTTCTTACTCAAAGTATGTGGTACCCCGGATTTCACCCTGGATACGTAAAACTCCCCATATATGAATATGCAAAGTATATTTATATTGGAACACCTTCATCCCCACCAAAGGTCATATTCAACATACTTAAGCCCTTCTTCCTCGCCCAAAGGTCATATATACTACAGCTCACTAACGACTCAACGTCCGTGCAATTAGTGTCCCCCGGCAACCCGTCCCCCAACCAAAAAAGAAAAGACGACAAACAAAAGGAGCAATGATTGAGGTTGTGGAACACTAGGAGTAGGCGTCTTGGACAGTTTAGACAATTATTTTCACTCCACAAATGTCACAAGCGATTAACCCAAACGAGAAGGAGATGACAAAGTGTCCATATGTAGAATGAGAAGCAATATTGACCAAAAGCTGAATGGTGATGATGACTATTTCTGATGTAACAGCAACTACTATTTGCAAACCTAATTGGAGAAGCATTTAAGACCATCTACTTCGGACTTTCTACATCAATAAATTTTAGCACCATTGGTTAATCTTAGCAAGGTTGCTGTTTTTTTATGCCAAATGGTAGGATGACAATTATCATCCACCCGTGAATAATTTTACCCAAATCAATGAATGAAGTCTCTATGAGTTTGGATATTTGTTGAGTAGACTTAGGTGGAGTATGAGTATTGTGTTCATACTCTATTTGGATATCCGTTTGCTTATTTATTTATTTGAGGTTTTTTAACTATAAATACGAAATTGGACTTGTTTGTACAATTTTAAAAGTTTAGGAGAATAATTAAATTTAGATATTAAATCCGAGTATTGGTGCAAATCCAATTCCATGGATTTAAACTCATCCCAAATAAATGGGTATGTTTATAAATATCCATTTACTTTGTATTTTGGTCTCATCCCCAACTTCCAAGAGTTTGGCAAAAGTGTCATCCCTATTAGTTACTATATATTTTCTTTTTAAGTCCAAAGGGTTAATCTAGTGCCAATGTGGGGGATGAAAACATGTATGGCATTCTGAGTTAGAATCATTGGACCAACATGAAACACGTTGGAAAGAAAGAAAGAAAAAAACAATATTTTGGTTGATTGAAAATAGTACATGAAAGTTGAAATATATTGAAATCTACTTTAAAAGTCCAGGGTGTAGATGTAGATGATTGTTGGAACTCATTAATTGAAGTAATGGTTAAAGTTGATGTTAATATATAGTAGGGAGGGAGCATGCACGTCTAAAATGATTTGATGGTAATAAAAATCAAAATCATGTTGGGATCTCGGGCGGGTGGGTACCTGTTGCCAAGGGAGGCGTGCAGCTCAAGGATCCTCTCTTCATCCTCTGGGCTGAACTCTCCTCTTTTGATGTCCGGCCTCAGGTAGTTGGCCCACCTCAGCCTGCAACTCTTCCCGCACCGCTGGAGCCCTGTATGCACAATATTATTTGTTAATAAAGATTTTGAGATAATCGTTGCATGTGTACGTTGTAATTAATTAATTAATTAATTAAGGTTTCAGATACAGAATCTTGGAGGAAGAAGCTAGCTTAGGCTAGTATATATATGGAGCTGACCTGCTTTCTGGGGGAGAGTTCGCCATCCTCCTTCGCCGTGCTCTTGAATGTAGGCGATAAGCTTCTGGTCTTCCTCGCTCGTCCACGCTCCTTTCTTCAAACCAACCACATTGCAGTATGGACTTCTCCCCATCATCGATCTCTTCCCGCTTACGTGGCCCTACACACACACACATATGTACTTGTCTATAACTGAATGGGCAGGCTAATTTTTCCGCAACATATTGGGGAGGGAAGGAATATAATGAAAGAAAGAAAAGAGATCTATTATTGAAGGGGCAGAATCCTGACATTTTTGGTGGTTGGCTGCTGCTATCTGATTACCCTTTCAGACCAGTGATTCGATCAAGTGACCAACCAACTATACTATATATGTGAACACTAGTACCATTTACCTACATTCTTCCTCTCATTCGGAATGGCATATTAATTATAGAGAAATCACATATCCCCCATTGTTAATGTTACCTACATTGGGTTGCAGATTGCCAGAGATCAGCTAGAGTTAGGGAGAGGGAGAGGGCAAGGGAGAGAGTACTAAAGTGTCAGAGAGAGTGGGTTTTGAACTGAGGGATAACGGGTCGACCTCATTATATACTTTTTTTGTTTGTTTGTTTGTTTGCAGAAACCCTCATTTTCTACCTATGGAAAAGTTTCCTTGTCTCCTCTACTCATAAAACACCTAATGGAGAACCAAGCTTTTTCTATTTACTTTCATCCTTAGTGCCCATAATTTGTGGATTTAAATCATGTTTTTCATATAAAAAAAATTAAATGAGTTGAATTCATAGTAAGCAAGGTTGTCAATCCGGTAGCCCGTTGCACCGCTTGAGCAAGTAGGTTGAGGGTTAATGATAGGATCGTTTTAGCTCGCATATATAAAAAGTCATTATATTGTTCCTACATTTATAAATTATATAAAATCTCATCCAATATATGAGTAATAATGTATGATACCACATTAAAATAACATATCGTACTTGGATCCAAAACATAGTGAAAACCAGAAATGAGGATTAGTCAATAAGGAAAACAAACATTAAGGTTAGTCGAAGAGTAAAACCGGAATTGAGGCGCATTTTGCAAACCAGATGAAAAAACTATATCGTCTGATCTTCAACTCAATAACCTTACAACGGGTCAACCTAGAAGTGTATGCGGCTCATTTTCTCAACGGGTCAGGATCCAAATGGGTCGGGTCGGGTCGGTTCGACCCACAAGTTGACAATTGGTAAAACATCATTTTAAATATATTTCAAAATTAAATTTATTTTAGATATAACATCAGCTTGAATAAATAAAATTTCCACTTTTGTGAATAATTATCATCGTTGCAGGAATACGCACAAGATAGTACATGAAAAACCATCAATTTTCATAAATAAACACTACAATTTGTGAATTATATGCTGATAATACCTTTAGAAAAAATGAACCTTTCTCCATTTCTTTTTCTTGTTCTTTTTTTATTTCAACCTTTCTCCTTTTCTGATAAACCCTTATCATCCTTTTGGGTTTTCATATATTTGGCTGCTTCCAGGAACGCTATTCCTTTTATTTTGTTCCGATCCTTCCTCTGCCCAATTAGGGTATGACCCTCAGATCACATGTTCCACACATAATTATGCATGGCGACAAATTCCATTCTCAAATTCCTTTCAACTAATTATTAATGTTCGATGATTAGTGGTTCAGAGCCATGTTATTTGGGCATCGAATTTCAATATTACTCTTATCTAAGTGCCTCTCCAGATGAAAACGAGTCGGATTGGGGTACCGTGTAGAATGACAATTCAGTACTATACATATCTTATAGATCTTATATGGTTTGGATTTTATTCGTATTCATATTTATGTATGATTCTGATAATAAATTAAAATATGTCCATATCTAATTGGATTTCAGTATTTATGGATAATAATTTTCATTTATATTCTCAATACTATTGTGTTACTAATCTCAAGTATATTAACATTACATAAGTAAAAAATTGAAAATAAAAAATCACCAATATTAAGAAATAAAAAAAGTACTCATTGACGGGATGCTACAAATATACCGGGAATACCAAATATGTTAAAATAAAAAATGAAGATTCATACAACATATTGTACATGTATATATAATCGGACAAGTTCGAGTTGCATAATAAAAAAATCATACCATCACATTCTTCGTAATATTCAAGTTCAAATTTACTCATATTACCAAATATTTTATTTAAATTGAATTTTACCTACCTAATTGGACAACGAATATTTAAGTCATTCCTACCTCGTCTCGATATCTTTCTCTTTCTAGTTTCTACGGCTTGGGATACAGTTAGTAACCATTGGTTACTGACCTATGAGTAACTAAATCTGGACCTTTAGATCTTAGTAGGTTCAGAAAATCCAGATCTAAGGGTTGTAAATTAAAGATATTTTATTTTCCCTAGTTTTCTTAATCGGCTCTAATATTCTTCGATCTAACTTGGATTTCAATTTTTTTTTTTTTGCACAGATGGAACGAGTTTGTTGTGCTCTACAAAATGAGAACAATTTTCAATATATTTTGATAAACTTTTTTTTCATACCTCCCGTTACCAACTACATACCATATGGTAACTTCATCGGTTTTAAGTCATTTTTGAAAACATTTGCTCAGAAGGAACGAGTTCATCATGATCTATTGGATCTATCATGTATTCAACCTTCCTACCATATTGGTATGTTCATACCATCATGGTACTTTTTCTTACCATATGGTATTAAATAGAAGCATACCATATGGTATTGACTGGTAAAAAAAGACTCAATTTTTTTTTTTGTTTTAAAAATATATCAAACTGGATATCATTTTAAAGAGCACAATTAATCTGATTTATCTGTGCAAAAAAATTAAATTTTAACTTAAAATGAGAGAGAAATCGTCCATTAAAAATTAAAGGGGAAAAGATAAAAGACTTTCTATGAGAGAGAGGGATACTGATGTCAAACTAATGTGGACGGGTTATTCATGGTTACTGACCTGATCCGCTCTCAGTTTTACTATGGTCACCCCTGTAAGTTTAGCACTTTTCCTATTCCTCTTACTTCTATAAATGCGTCCATTTAGTTGGGAATGATATTTACATAATTGGTTAATTTCCTTTTATTTTATTTTGTTTAATTTTGCATTAAAAGGACTAATATAATGGGTGTCGCTCACGGCAAAAATGGTATAATTGTTTCATCTTAGTGAGTTGTTTTTCACCGATTTCTAATAATTGTTTCGTATATTTATTGAAATAATAGGCAATTACATCCTCGACCGAAGTCAGTACAAAAATTTAAATAAACGACTCGTAATCGGGTACAAAGGATGCGTCTTTCTAGCCACGAAAAGGACTATTCTATTACTACGACGACCTATAAATCGAACATTAAACCTAATATGCACCGCAAAATAGCCAACAATCTCCTCCAAAATAGCCCCCATCTGGTTGTCCTGGATATCTGGCTGATTGATCTTATCAATAATCACCTAAGCATCACCATCAAACCTGACCTGCGTGAATCCCTGGCTTAAACACCAGAGAATAGCATCGCGGGGAACAAGCAACTCAACAACCATAGGATAAAAAATCTCTGAAAATTGCATGCCTTTAGCCAAGAGGATTGTCCCATCATGACTCAGGACAACCATCCCGCCTGCCGAATGAGATCCACTACTAGTGGCTCCATCCCACATATAGACGATCGAGTTTGGAGACACAGTGCCCAGATTATGAGTTGTTGGGATGGAAGATGGGATACTATAGTTTGCAGGCAAACTAATCCACTCCGATATTGTTGGTTGAATTGCCGCATTAGATCTGGGATCCCAAATTGTTTTCCATCAAATACCACCCAGTTTCTTGATCTCCATATTTGCCAAAGGATCGCCACAACCGCCATGAACAGTTGCGGCTGATTTATGAGCATCATTACCTGTTTCAGGAAGAGGGGGAAAGTGTGATGAGGCAACCCTTGACCAATATATTTAAGCCCCGAATGATCCCATAAGGCACGAGCCACTGGGCAATCAAGGAACAAATGTTCCATCGTTTCGAAGTCCTCCCAACAAATCGGGCACCGGGGAAGCACTTGGACATCCTTATCAATTAGGGATTCCATCATAGGGAGGATGCGATTTAAGACTTGCCATACAAACATTTTCAGCTTTGGTGGAATATTGGACTCCCACAACCGAATCCAGCTGGGCCTATCCATCCAACTAATCGTTGATCGCCAAAGCCCACCTTGCTTATCTAATAAGACAACAAAATGGTAGGCCGACTTGATAGTGAAGACCTCATCCGTCGTGGCATGCCAGATCAACTTATCCTCCACATTTTGACGAGGAAGAGGAATAACTTTGATGGCCCGACACGTTGGTGGGTGAAACCACTGCCTAAGTTTCAGGTCACACCATAGCCCCTCCCCTTGACATATAACCTCCGCTACTGGCGGGTCACCATCACTAGGGAGTACCTGAGGGTTATATTGAGGGGGTTGAGGATGCAACCGTGGGATCCAATCGGAGTGCAGCAGAGAAGCCTTTTGACCATTGCCAATCTGCCACCGTAAATCCTTCACTAATAACTCCTGGCCATACAAGATACATGTCCCAGTAGGGAAATACTTCCCTTTGTAAACCTGGCCACATGTCTGTCCAAGAGCCGACAAAGCGGCAGAGGCAATTTGAAACATGACATAACATGTAACAACAAGGCTAAGGCGAGCGATTTAATCAAAGTTTCCTTAGCCGCCCAAGACAATGTCCTTTGCTTCCAGCCTTACAGTCGTTCCAACAATTTCTCCTCCAAATACCGAAACGTAGCCAATTTAGATTGGGCTATCAGTGAAGGTAACCCTAGATACTTGTCATGGACCCCCACCGTCCCAACTCTTAGAATTTCTACCAAGAATTCTTGATCTGGCAATGCAATATTCTTGCTAAAGCAAACTGTCCACTTAACCAAATTCACCCTTTGGCCACTAAGTTCCTCATATTCATTTAAAACCTCAATCAAATTCTCATATTTCTGGAGAGAACCTCTAAGGAATAAATAAGAATCATCCGCAAAAAACATATGTGAGATACGAGGAGCCCTAGGTGCTAGTTTGACAACTTTGACTTTCCCTTCCATGATAGCTTTCCGTAGGAGCGTCGCAAACACCTCCGTACAAAGCACAAATAGGAGAGGAGAGAGCGGAACTCCCTGCCGGAGCCCCCTAGAGGGTAAGAAGAAATCCGAAGGTGTGCCATTCATGAGGACCGAAAAACATTTTTTATTTGAGACATTCATGTACTCAGTC